ATTCATAAGGTTTTCCCTGGCCAATTCTTTGAGAAGTGGACGGCCTCTTCCTTCTTCCTAGTCTGTCTCAGTCTACAAGCTGGGCTGTTACCTGTGCACCAGGTGCATTTCGCTGAGTTTTAAACACCAGAGGCTCAGCCTCAAAACTCACGTCTACATGTCACCACAGTAGGACAGACCGACAGACAAGTTTGTCTTGCTGTTGGAGACCTCTTGTATCACCCCCACCTGGGTCCCTGTGGCTGACTGTTCCTCTGTCTTGCTTCCTGGCTTTTAATCCCCTTTCTCCTGCTCTTCCCGCCTGCTGCTTTGGGTGTCCCTGAGTTGTCTCTCCTCACCTGTATCCTAGGGGCTTAGTAATTAGCCATTAAAGAGATGCAAATCAAAACAACAATGAGATACCATCTTGCTCCAGCACTAGCAGCAAAGTTCAACAAGACAGAAAATAACAAATGCTGGCGAGAGATTGGGACTCTCCTACATTGGTGGTGGGACTGTAAAATGGTACACCCTCTGTGGAAAGCAGTATGGTGATTCCTTCAAAAGTTGGAATTAGAAATACTATTTGACCCAGCCATTCCGTTACTAGATATATATCCTAAAGAAGCAATAGTCGTGACAAGAACAGACATATGCATACCTGTGTTCATCGCAGCACTATTTACAGTAGCCAAAAGATGGAAACAACCTAGGTGTCCATCAATGGAGGAATGGGTAACCAAACTTTGGTACATACACACAAATGGAATACTATGAAACCCTAAAGAATAAACCTAGAATCTGCAAAATACCTCATAATGTGGTTGAACTTGGAGGACATTATGCTGAGTGAAATATACCTGAGGTAGGTATACTCCTTGGAGAGAACAATCATGGGAGAAAGAAGGGCTGTTTATGCACAGGGAGACAGCTTAGGGGGCAGGAGTACATGGTAGGGTGAATACAGGGAAGAGGTGACTGTTGGGAGGAAGTGGGAGGGGAGCTGTTGCATTGTGGTGAATTGTGGTTAATGTCATGAGATAAAGTATGTGAACAGCTGTATGGAAAATGAATCTGCTCTGTCAATTTTCATCCAAATCACAATTTAAAAAAAAAAGAGGAAAGGTAAGTTATGGTTAGTGTTTTAAGGGCTTAATTTCCATGCTAAGGAGTTTGAGTTTATGTGAAGTGAGAGAAGCCATTAAAATATTGACACCCAGTTGACATTGTGTGAGTACCTTTTCAAAGGAATTAATCTGGTGTAGGATGTAATATGGACTGAAAACAGGAGAAATTGTTGACAGGGCAATCAGGGGTGCTATGGTAGTTTAGGTGTGAGTTGATGAGGACTTAAACTAAGGTGAGGTAGTGAGGATGCAAAACCCAATCTATTCTAAAACCAAAGCCAAACCATACTCACTGCCATCAAGTTGGATCTGACTAATAGTGACCCCTCCTTGGGTTTCTGAGGCAATATCACTACAAATGTAGATTGCCCAACCTTCCTTCTGAGGAGTGACTGGTGAGTTTGAACTGCCAGCCTTCTGGTTAGCAGTAAAGTGCCTTAGGCACTACACCACCAGAGCTCCATTCTAAAGACACTGGCATAATTTGGTAATGGGCTGAGGATGGGGAAGAATGAAGACTCTATATAACTCTAGGATTCTAAGAATATCATGCTAACAGTTATAGGATAGTCAGGAATAAGAGATTCTTAGAGGGAGGGAGAGAGTCTCAGAAACTTTTAATTTATTGAGACTTCATATAGAATAATTTAAATTTTAACTTAGGCCATACATTTTAAGTAAGTTTAGCAAATTGCAAATTTGTATTTATGATTAAGGTTAATTTTTTTTCTGCCTTTCACTAGAAAGCAGGAATAACATTTCAAATGGACAACCACTTGCCAAACCTTGTCAATCTCAATGAAGATCCTCAGCTATCAGAGATGTTGCTATATATGATAAAAGAAGGAAAAACTACAGTTGGAAAGTATAAACCACACTCAAGCCATGATATTCAGTTATCTGGGGTGCTGATTGCTGATGATCATTGGTATGTTAATCTTAAATAAGGCATCTGTTCATTTTTCAGTGGTCTTCTATATCTCATTACCTTCACATGAGACATTTAGTTTATATTGATTCTTTTATATAATTTTTCAAACTCATCTTTTAGCCAAGAAAAACAGGCATACTCAGTGTTTGTAAAGATTATAGATCAACAAAACATACACTGCCATCGAGTTGGATCCAACTCATAGCAACCCGTCCTTGGGTTTCCAAGGTGGTACTACTGCAGAAGTAGGTTGCCCATTCTTCCTTATGAGGAATGGCTGGTGGGTTTGAACTGCCAGCCTTCTGGTTAGCAGTGAAATGCCTTAGGCACTATGCCACCAGAGCTCCTGATTATAGATCAGTTACCTCAATATAAAATATGCTCTCTATTTTTGTCTTGGTGTAATTGATCTATTGTTGGCTGAGGGACACTTTCTTTTCTTAGAATTATAATCATGTATGAAAGCAGCCATCTTAATGACAGAATTTTTGGTTGGCTTGCCAAATTCAAAAATTTTGTTTCATATGATTTCTACATAAATAGAATGATACTGTATGTGTTATTGGGATAATAGTGTGTGAAAACTGTTTGGCTCTTTACTGTTTTCAAGATATATCTATGTTGATACTCTTTCATTTTCATTGCTGTGAATCATTCTATTCCAGGATATGAATTTATCTATCTATTATATTATTACAGTTTATTTATTTTGTTGATAGACATTTGGGTTGTTTCCAATTTTTTCTGCTACCACAGTATTTTTATTTGTATTCTTGTATGCCCTCTGGTACAAATGTGAAGAGTTTTTCTAGACAGTGCCCTAGTTGGTAGGCTGAGATATTGACCATATGAGTTCTGAGGGCAGCTGGTAGGAACTTGGGAGTCCTGAGCTGCCAGACCAGTCACCTCTAACTGTGAGCAGCTTCTCTGCTTACCCCAATGTGCTGAGTAAATATTATACTTTTCTAAATATGTATAATAATAATAAAGTTTAAGAAGCATTCAAAGTATATATCTAGGAGCAAAATTTTTTAATTGTTGGATGTGCATCTTCAACTTTATTAGGTAATTTCAAATTGTTTTCCAAAATTGTTGTTAGTTTCTACTCCCACTGGTAAAGTAGAGGTTCAGTGAGAAAGGGCATGACACTCAACAAGATGGATTAACACAGTGGTTGTGTTGTTGGGCTCAAGAATAGCAAAGAGTGTGAGGATGATGCAGGACTGGGCAGTGTTTCATTCTGTTGTACATAGAGTCACTGTGAGTAGGAGCTGACTTGATGGCACCTAACAACAGCAACAAACTCCCATTGGTAGAGGATACCCTTTGCTCTGCATCCTTGTCAGCATTTGGTACTTTCAGACTTTATTTTATACCAGTCTGGTAGATGCAAATTAGTATCTCATTGTAGATTGCTTTTGCATTTATTTTATTAATAATGAGACTGAGCATCTTTTCATATATTCATTGACTTCTCTTCTTATTTGCCTGTTCATGTCTTTTGCTAATTTTTCAGTTGGCTTATTTCTTTTCTTACTAATTTGTAGGAGTTCTTTATATATTCTAGTGACCAAGCCTTTATGGGTTTTAAGTGTTACAAGTATCTCTTAATGAGTATGTGACTAAAAGACTCATCTTTTTACTCTATGGTGACTTTTGGTGGTTAGAGGGTCTTAATTTTATTGTAGTACATATCATTAGTCTTGTCCTTTATTGTTGTCAGTTTTTGTATCTTGTTTAAGAAATCCTTTCTAAGGATTAAGATCATAGAGATGGTCTCCTAAATTTTCTTACAGATGTTTTGAAGTTTTGTTTTCATGTTTAAGTTCTTAAATTTTCTGTATTTTTCTTTTGTTAAGAAGTTGGGAACTAAATTCATTTGTTTTCCATTGAATAACTAGTTGTCCCAGTACTGCATATTTAATAGTGTATTGCTTTTTTTTTTTTTTTTTTGTGAATTTCTTCTGTCTTAATTACTTAATTACTTTCATAGTCTTAATTACTTTAGCTTTATAATAAGTCTTTAAATCTGGTAGAGAAAATCCCCTTATTTTTCAGACCTTTTCCTCTTCTATTAATTAATTGTTTTTTACAATAGGAATAAATACAGTTTTACTTCTGTCAGTGGCAAAGATACAGAACAAGGTCCCAGTGAGTTGAGAGTATAGTAGGAGATGAGGCAGTCCCACTTCCCTCTCACTCTGTTAGTTCCTGTTTAGTACACTCATTCCTCTTTGTCTTATTCCCTGAACTATATAAACTCTATGAGGGCTGGTTTCATATATATCTTCACTGTTGACACATATCTGGCATTTGGTGGCACAGTGAATATAGAACTTCAGTATTCATCAATATATATTGTGTTGGATGAGTATTGCATACATAGTGCTTAAAAGTAAAGAGAAGGAAGAGTCCATTTCCATCTTGAGACCTAAAGAAAAGCTTCTTAGAGCTCTAGCATTTAAGTTGGTTTAAAGGATGATGGAGAAGATGGCCTATGTTTTAGGAATGACTCAAACAAAGGAGGGAACCTAATAATAAGGCAAATTCACAGTACCAATTTGTTTGATTGAATGTGAGGTGGGGTTCTTATGGGAAAATAGTGGTGAATAAGGGAGATTGGTGGTTGAAGTCAGATGGTGGAGGTTCTAGATGGAAGACCAGGGAATTTTAATGGGAGAGTAGATAAAGCTAAGAAAGGGAAGGAATTAAATAAGCAGACATTGTTTGAACCTTTAGCTACTTAAGACACTAAACTACTACTGGGAGGGATGGGCTACCTGAGGGTGAACTATTCTTTTCTCAAAATGATTTAACTGAACTGGTAGCACAGTGACTGCTAACCAGAAGGCTGGCGGTTCAAACCCACCAGCCACTCCTCGGAAGGAAGGTTGCACAATCTATTTCTGTAGTGATACCACCTCGGAAATCCAAGGAGGGGTCGCTGTGAGTCGGGTCCGACTCACCGGCGTATGACAACAACAACAACAACAACAGCAACGTTATTCTTTAGTTATAGATCTTGGAACCTAATTGACAGAGTTTTTTCGTTGGGATTCAGCTTTTGCTTCAGTTTTCTCTATCCAGTTCAACCCAAGAGGAATTGAACTTTGGAGTTTCTGTCCTTTTCTCTGGATACAAAGAATCAAAGGAATATGTAGCATTTATAGCTGATTTTCTGATTAGGGTCCAGTTAAATTTGACCACTGAGGACTAAGATTGTATCTCTACACCTTTTCTCCTCTGGATTTCCCCATTTTTCATGAAGAAAATAATGTTTGTTGTTTTTTCCATTTTTTTTTTTTTTATTAGGATTTGGGTGAAGATTTACAGAGTAAATTCACTTTTCATACAGTAGTTCACATATACTTTGT